CACACACACACACACACACACACACACACACACACACACACACACACGAATTCCATTTGATCTCAGGAAGATTTGTTTTTGACTAACTGGAGGTCATAATCGATCATCTTTCATGTCCGTTCTGTCCGTATCAAATGGTTTCTACTGTCACATTCTAGGTGCACAGTTGTTTGTATCAATGTTACCAGTTTGTAGTCTTTGGTGGAGAGTTTGGTGAACCACTGGTTGTACTCCAGAGCGGCGATGATCGCCACCAGATCCCTGCAGGGAAAAAAACACAAACAAGACAACACAAATTAAAGTGATACTAACAATGATAAGACATTAAAACACAACACTGATTTAAAAATGTTTTGGTAAAATAACAAAACAAAACACACACGAGGTGAAAGTCACAGAAACGCTGAGCAGTGAACGTACCTGTTCTCCAGGTGAATGAAGTCCTGCAGGTTGAGCTCTCTGGTGTCCTGAGTGAGATAGATGGTGTCCACGTCCTGGAGGAGAGGAAGATGACAACACAGGAGATGAGAGGAAATAGCTTCACGGTGGTGTGTTCAGGGACATTACGAATTACTTCAACAGCAGCAGAAAAGAAAAACGATGGAAACACAAATGGAGGTAAAACGGAGACGAGGTACAACTTGGCAGCAAGAAAATCTGTCAGAGAAGAAGAAAAGAGGAGAAACAACAAAGAAACATAAGCAGAAGGAAACAAAAGGAGCAGAAGAGGAGAATGAACAGAACAAAGTGTCTGAAGACAAACAGTGTGGAGCACCGACCCATTGGACCTCCTCTCTGTAGGGCAGACCCAGGTAATCACACACACACCAGTACTGATGAGAAAACCCGCCTGCAAAGAGTCGACACGACAACTTTCAGCACTGAAATACACTTTAAACATTTGACTGGATACGTTTCTTTACATTTTTAAGGCTGATTTACCGCACGGTCCCAGATCTGCAGAGCTCTGTTCGTCCCAGACGGCCTGCAGGGACGCCGTCCTCTCTGGAGGCTTCAGACTCAACTTCTTCATCACCTTCCTTCCTTACAGAGAGGAAGAGGGAGAGGGATAAGGAAATAAGAAAGTCTTTCTTTCACTTCAAACAACTCTCATTGAGTCATTTATCCTCAACTTTAATCACGTTTTATTGTTTAATGTTCCTTCCTGTCCTCTCACTGGACCCTCAGCGTGGTACCTACACAGGTGAGCCTCAGCGTGGTACCTACACAGGTGAGCCTCAGCGTGGTACCTACACAGGTGAGCCTCAGCGTGGTACCTACACAGGTGAGCTGGCGGGGCAGATCCGCTGCAGACAGCTGCCGATGTGAGCGATCACCTCGTCCACTTCCTCCGCCGAGCCGAGCCGGAGGCTCCATGGACCGCGCTCGTACTCCAACACCAGCTGCAGGGGGCGACACGCACGCACACGCACGCACACGCACACATGCACACACGCACACACACTCTAAATCTTCAGTATCTTTTTCCTGTAACATCATCAGTGTTGAAAGACATCAGTGATGTTGGCGTGTTTGTTTGTCATAAACGTAATGCAAGTTAATCGTTGCATTGTTGTGTGTGTGCATGTTGTGTGTGCATGTTGTGTGTGTGCGTGTGAGTCTGTGTGTGTGGATGTGTACGTGTGTGTGTACGTTTGTGTGTGTGTACGTGTATACATGTAGGTGTGTGCATGTGTGTGTGTAGGTGTGTGTACCTGAGTGGGCTTGTTGCTGCTGATTCCCTGGATATCCAGGTAGCTGAAGGAGTGTTCAACCTAAAAAGGAGACAGATTATGAACTCTATGAGTACAGATATCAAGTTAATGTTGTGTTTCAAAATCATGTTCATGGAGGAGGGTTTTAGGAAAACACACAAACAGAAAGTTTTTGCTTTAACAAATCACAAATGGGAAAGCAATCCCCCCCCCCCCACACAGTGAAGACTTCTCAGGAAAACAACCCTAAACGGATTAATGTGTCTCTTCCTGAGAACTGGAGGATTTTCCCAGGAACCTTTTATATCGGACACAGACGGTGTGTTTGTCAAATCTTTCCTTAACTGGACGTAGAGAGATTATCAGTGACGTACACACACTCTGAGGGGTGTCAGCGTGAGCAGCTTGTGTTCCATTAAAAAGTACATTCATTTAAACAATGTGGGAAGTCTTTGTTTCCCCACAAGCACACGAATGTCCACCTGTCACTCAGCCACTGTAGCTATACACAACATGCTTTAAATGAATAAAGACGCATTTCATTGTTTGATTTGGACTGTAAGAGGGAGAATGAGTTGTGTGGTCTTTCTAAAGTTAAGTTGTCTTGCTGCAACATCATCGTCTTCTCTAAAGAAGCCTGCAGACAGCTGACTCAGTGGACTCTCTTCAAGCTGCAACTTGTTTCAGAGTAGAGATAAGAGCTCCAGAACGGTTCACTGTGTCACAACTACTCTCCATTTAGAAACAAGTCTTCCGTTATGATCGGATTTACACTATACGATTATCAATAATACTTCAATGAGAAATCTGTCCAACGCTCGTCCACAAGAGACACAAGTCTGTGCAGACTGAACCTTTTCTGTTAGAATGAATCAGAAACAGAGAGACTGAAATGTACAGGCAAAACACAAAATACTCAAATGTCTGGAGTCAAAACCGTTTTCCTTTTGAGCCCAGAGAGAAAAGTAAAAATAACATAAAAAACAAAGACAGGAAGAGAGAGAGAGAGAGAGAGAGGGGGGGGGGGGGGGGGGGGTTATAAAAAAGAAAGTGAAAGATGGAGCAAGAGAACAAATTAATAAAAGATTGTGAGAAATAAAAGGGTCACAATTCGGGAGCAGGATAAAGAAGTAAAAGTGTGATAAAGAGGAGGTGAATATGGACTTGGACTTTTATATTTGAAAACAGAGAGAGAGAAAGAGAGAGGGGGGGAAAGAGAGAAAGAGAGCCCCGCCCCTCTTTTCCTTGCCAGCTGTTAAATTCCTACATTGTCTTTTTTTCTGCCTCTCTGCCTGGAGAGTCCACCCGAAGAACAAACCAGCCTCTCTCTCTCACTCTCACTCTCACACACACACACACACACACACACACACACACACACACACACCACCGGCCCACTCTGGAACAACAGATCAGGGGTCAGCTGGTTAGACGGAGATTTATATATTCAGAGGTTATTTAAAGTGTTGCTGTTTTTGAGCAAGAGAAAGAATCCAAAGATAATCATTGGTATGAAGTTAGTTATTTTATTAACCTGTTAACAATCCAACGGGCCGACCAACATGTCTTCAGAGGCTGCAGCAGGCTTTAAAGCGTAGCGGGACGACACTGGAGTCATGTGAAGCTAGAGGACAGGAAACATCTACTGGTACAATAGATTAACGCTCCAGAAACTGGGTTCTATGGCACCAACGAGTCTCCCCTTTACATGCATACACACTTTATGATAATCACATGCAGTCTGAGGCAGTTATTTCTGTTGCATGCAGTAGAAATATGTTATGTTTACCTATTTACCTTTAGCACCAAATCTAGGTAACAAATGGTATCAACCAAAGAACTGCTGCAACAGTTTAGGAGACATAAGTGAGCATTACGGCATCACATACTTCCATCATGATGCTCTCAGCCGTTATACGAGCTGCACGTAGTTAATTCTTTAAAATGCTCGGGTGGTGGTGTGAAGAACTAACTTCAAATTATAACTTATGAGCAATGGAGCCCTCCAGACTTTATGTTATTTACTGCAGAACTTAAACCTTCCACCACACCGGGTGTCAGGATGCATGGACACACATTTAAGCAACGTCATCCATCTTTGGGCTGCAGACATAAAGCCAGATTGTTTTCCAAGTCACGGTTTGGATTTGGGTTTTAAATGCGAGACGTCGGTTCCACTTTGTATCTCAGTGTGCGACTCATCTACACGCCGTCTGGTGTGATTCACGTCCCGGAACAGCAGCAGTGATTCTTAGAGCTGCGTTTAACCGTGGATTCACTTCTCTGTTTATTAATCCATCGCTTCTAAAGCAATTTATGAAGCTTAAAAACAGGAAGTTCACGAGTTCAGGCTGAAGTTTGAGTTTCTGTTCGGACACTTCACAGAAAATATTTCGTCTTTACTTCTTTTTTTACTATTTAAAGCATGTTTCTCTCTCCGTCTTTGCCTCGCCCTGCAGGTTGAACTTCTCTTCCTCTCGCTGTTTTCTTTTCCCACAGGCTGTGTACTCCCAGCGGCATTGTGGGTAAAACTATCAGATGTCTCCATATGGTGGGACGTGTTTGTATGTGGAGAGAGAGAGAGAGAGAGAGAGAGAGAGAGAGAGAGAGAGAGAGAG